TATATATATATATACGATAATAAAATTATATAAATGATCAATAGATGATAAAAAGCAACAAATACTTCGATAATAAGTCATTCTTCCAAGAACGCGATCTAAACATGTAAAGATTTCTCATCAGCAGCTAAGCTAAGCCAAGTCACAACTTTATTACTATGATGTCAATTTCCTAGCAAATATTTTTTCACCAACGTAACAGCACCCCAGTAGCACAGCGGTATGTTTGCAGACTTACAACGCTGGGTTTCGATAGCCCATTGTGTAGCTTTGTGTTTAATTACAAACAAACAAACCCAAGTAACAAGAAAGCACGTGGTAATCTTAAAGGCAAAATTAAAAAACAAATGTTTAATGTTTTGTAGCTTCCTGATCATATTGTTACAAAAGCAGAAGTCACGCGACGCTGGGAGCATGCGCGCTGGAGTTTCTCGAAGGATCATGAATTTGCCCGGCAACTCTAGTCTGATCGAGATGCCCTCATTTTAGTATATAAGCCTGGCGAGAAAAATCAGCGAGATTGAAGAGATAGATAATTCAGTCAAGCGAACTGTAGGCACCGTAAGGAAAGTGTGTGTGAATCACTGTGATTTAGAGCATGTGTTATAAAGTAGTGTTACGTCTCTGTTTGTTAATTTTCCGTAGAAATTCTTTCCCAGAAACTTCAGCGATACAAGTCCTTTCTTAAATAAAACTGGTTTATTCTTTCTCAATACAACTTTGCAAAACATTTAATTTCCACAGTCACACGCTATAATTCACAACAATTCACGCACTTTACTTACAGTCACTACCGCTCGCTTGACTCAATTATCTGTATCTATATCTGTCTATCTGCAATTATATCTCTGTTTTATTTGCAGGGCTTATATACTAAAATAGAGAGCGCCTTCTAGAAACTCATGACGTGTTACCAGCGTCACGTGACTTCTGCTGTCGTAACACTGCCCCTTCCTTAGTATTGTTCATCCCGAACAATAGCCACTTAAATTAAACCAATAGATAATTAACAATAACTTAATTAAATGTACAGAATTTACAAACACAAAATTAAAATTCAACAAAGTCTCTTAGTTTTACGGGACGTATCTTCTTCCGTACTGGTCTCCATCTCATTGGCTTTTTCTTCACATAAAGTTCATCTGCGTCATCAGTAAATGTCCTATTATCGGTAATAGTCACATCAGTGGTAGTAACTTCATCAAGGGCTTCACTGTTTCCCTTCTCAAAACCTAGTAGAGTTTCTTCTTCGACAGTGGCTTTTCCAGGTGACACGTCTTCAGTGGCATATTTTGTTCCATTGTTCACTTCGTACCAAGTGAAATGTCCTGGACCATGATAACGCCAAAGCCTATTGGCATGCACCACCTTTGGCTTACCTCGCCGACCACATTTAATTCGGAAAGTCACGTCTGAGAGACGATCCACTATGTCATATGGGCCTTCCCATATGGAGACTTCCCTTTGGTCTTCCTGGGATTATACAACCACACCTTGTCTCCTGGTACAAAGCTGACTTCAGTAGATCTCTTATCATAACATAGCTTCATGGAATCAACAGACGTTTTCAAGTTTGAACGCACTTGATGGTGAATATCATCCATCTTTTCAGATAACACTTTCACGAACTCTGACACATTCTCAGGCAACTCTTCATAAGGTGGGCGTCCTGTTATCAGATCCATTAGCAACCGAAGTTCCCGACCAAACAACAGCTTTGCTGGAGTGTATCCAGTGGTTTCATGCTTTGCTGTCCTATAGGCCATCAACAGTGGAGGGAGTAGGACATCTCATCTTTGCGACTATTACAAAACTTTGCCTATTCATGTCCCAGTGTCCAATTGTACTTTTCTACCATCCCATCTGACTGTGGGTGAAGTGGCGTTGTTCTGGTCTTTCATATGCCAAACAACTTGCAGCGTTCATAGAACACAGCTGATTCAAAGTTACGGCCTTGAT